CCATAGATATCGGGTGTGCGTCGGCAGGGGATCGAACCTTGGACCATGTGCATGGTCGGCGAGAGTCCTAACCACTGTGCCACCGACGCACACATTCACACAGTGATACACCCATTGACTGGGTATTGGTTTTCAGGTGAACCAAACACACCCATCCCTGCCTCTTGCGAGACAAGAACGGCATGCATGATCATCCTGTGGCGCAACCACTCGAGTGCCCTCTTCCTCGGTGGACTTGATTACGTGATCTTCGGCTTTAACCTCACCCCATTGATGTAGTGTAATTCTGTCTGTCTCTTGTTTCTATGGTTTGAGTTTAACTTAGTACATTGCTACCTAATTTATTAGTCACTCATCATCTCACGCATCTCTCGTCTTTATAACGTAACTCCTTTACCATTGTATGCATACATTTACTTTGTTTGTTCAAACTTGAACTGCCTGTGTTAAAATTATGTGTCAGCGTAAATTTCCTAGCACTGTTCACTAAGTTCGGAACCTCCTGCCACTAACTGAGATGATGTAAAATTTGCATGTTTATTGAAAATTTTCTATACATAAACTTAATGACAATTTATTTAGGCTGTAAGAATCTCAGCTGATGAGAAGTCAAAAAACGAAATATACCTACCTCTAATGTTGTTCTTGCTTTATTCAATTCAACAAGGCGGATAAATGTGTAAAGTCTCTCCACTTAATTACTTATTACTTTTAATACGTCTAACCGATCTCAGCCTAATGCGAATGAATGCATTATGATGGCTGAGATATTTTTAGATTACTCAAATCGATAAAGTTAACCCTTCTAGATCTGGTTAAATGCACATGTTTCAATGATCTAATTGACCCCAAATTGACTAGTTTGACTGTCCTGTGTGATTGACCTCACTCACAGTTATAACATCCTTGTGTTTGTTAAATTATATTATCTTTTCTAATTAGATCTTTCAAGTCCTTAAACCAATAAAGTTCGCCTGTTAGTGAGTTAGTTGGTTTAAATGCTACTCTAATGGGAGTCATATTAGGAATCCTCTGTGGTATTACTTCTGATATTTTGATTGGACACTAGCAGTTTGTAACTAGTGTGATGTGTCTAGCTAATCCTTTCTTTATTGCAAACTGAATTCTATCAGTCAGTCAAGTTTGCAATGTGGCCATCATTCTAGGCAAATTGCCATCACGATGCACAGTGATTTGATGAAATTAGATGGTTGGAGGCAATTGGCCATAGGAAGGAAGCCTTGCTGGACCTAGGTTTCGTGCTATTTGGCACTCACCAGTCAGCAAGGCAGTGGCCACATTGCGAACTTACTTGGCTGACTGATAGAATTTAGTCTGCACCAAGTAGATAGGACTAGACACTCAGACTACACTAGTTACTGACTGACTAGTGTCCAATCAAAAGTACTCAATACAGTCAGTCCTACAGGAGGTCAATTGCGAGCCTGAATAACTAACTCAGTGGTTGTAACGTCTCTGACTCACTGAAGAACTCACAGGGTGATGCGGGTTTCAGTTGTTACTTCAATGTGGTTGCAGATACACGCCTTGCTGGCTGACTGAGAGGTGAGTGTCAACTAGCAGGAAATCTAGGTTTAGGCAAGGCTTCCTTCCTGTGGCCAATCGCCTCCAACCATCTAACTTCTGATAATGTTTACTTATAAATTAGTATATTGTCGAGTCTCTGAATCCTTTTTTATTTTTAATATTTTCTTTGTATACATTACTACTTTTATTTTCTTAGTAGTCCAGCTAAACTGTTGATTGAAATCAAGAAGTGGCTAGTTACTCCTCACCTGTAGTAGTAGTTTAGTGTTGTGAAACAGACAATCTGTTCCTACGGTATATTATACGGTATATTCTCACAAATACTATTCCCCCATAGTTCAATAGTGCATTCGCAACAGAATACTACTTATATATGTATCTATTTGAACATTCTATTTCATGTGGTTTAATGTAGACCAAAATCACACACACTCTCAGTGATTTGTTAAAGAATACAAACTGTATAAATATGCATATATAGCGGTTTGATCACTTGAAAACGGACCTTGGCTTCCGTTTCTTGCTTTCTGCTGCTACACTTGGTGTCGCTGCCTGTCGATAAATGAAAAGCTTTTGGCCTGTAGTTTGTAAAGAAGGGGACATATGGATATTCTTGAAGGACCGGGGCTGTTGCGGAGTTGAGCGGCGTTCAAGATACGTCAGTGGAGGAAGAGGCTTTTAATAAGAACGCCTCTGACAGGTCAGGTGAAGGCAGGATATATGATATTGTATGGCGGTAAGCCGATGAATACGCACCAACCAGCTATAGTCACGCAAACTGCTTCCGAATTGGGAAGCACCATACACGGTCAACCCAAGGTGGGTTCACGTATATACCTTCAGAAGTTGAAACACAGAGAAAAAGCGGTGAACGTCAGCGAGCTCCAGAACTAGACACAGCAACACAAGAAAACAAAGACGCCAGCTTCTAGAAGATCGGACCACGTCCAGTCTATAGTATGTGACGGGAGAGGATGAGTGTTGTGTGGTAGTGTGGTACAGACAGTGTGTTTCAACTTAAATTATTCTCCTACATACTATTCCCACAGTTCAGCACTGCATTGGCAACAGAATACTATGCTATGCATGTATGTATTTGAACATTCTAATTGATGTCGTTTAATGTAAACCAAAATCACACTCTGGCTCAGTGATGATTGGTTAAAGAATATAAACTGTATATAAATATAAGCATAAATAGCGGTTTGATCAATTGAAAATGTACCTTGGCTTCCGTGTCTCGCCTTCTGCTGTTTTACTAGTAATAGTAGTAGTAAGGTTTCGCCTATATCTTCAATTTCTTCATTTAAATTTCAAATCAATCGATTGATGACTTGATTGCATAAACACTTGACAAAGACGAACGTAGACTTACTGATTTTAATTTGAAATTAATATTCAGAATATTGTTGAGAAAATTAGTCTCACCAGGGTTTATTGCATTATTTTGTTGCCTGAATCTCACGCGCATCTCATTGATTTCGAGGAATTCAACTGTGATTTGATGAATGAGGCCACCTGATGCCATAGAAGAAAAGTCCGAAGGTCTTATATTTTATTCAAAGACTGAATAGGTAAAATGGTTATTATTCTCCAAATGGACATAATAGCGTTAAATATCTTGAAGTCTGTCCTCCTTACACGATCTCATCCATGTAACCCTCGTATCGACGACCTCGCGCGATGTCACTCTAGATGACAGTCTTACATTCTTATATAACACAGGATAGAAGGAGAGTTTGATAACTGAGGCTTTATTATTGTTTATTGAATAAAATGAGAACGTTAGCCAGAGAAATGACTTAACACCTATCACGAACATGTAGACAATTCTACCTCCTTTAAGACAAATAAGAAGAAGGCAAGACAATATGTATTACTGATATCAACAGTCAATGCATTCTGATAATAGATATTTAGACGTAAATTCATCTCATCCGTTCGTTATCTGTCTGTGAAGGCAGGCTTAGTTAAGTGTCTAACAAACCGAGCAACAACATTACTAAGTAGTACAACAAAAAAGACCTAAATGATGAAGAGAAACAGACAGATGAATATCTGGTTGGTGTTAAATAACTAACTATCCTATGAAATTCATTAGGAAGATGAGAAAAGGTCAAAAGCAAAATAAAAATGATGGTGAAACTAATAATGATAACATAAATAAGAGAGAATAAAAGGCATCTCAAGTAGTTTTACCATATAAGAAGTGAGGGAACATTTCACACCATCCCTAAGTAGTAGGATTCTCAATAAAGCAGGAATTAGCGTGGTGGTGGTATTCAAACCTACAAACTCACTCACTCAGATAGGACAAGCTCTGTAGGTAGGTTAAAGGACCCTGTACATTGACCCAATTACAACACAATAGTATAATTTACAAAATAATTTGTTGTAATGACTGTGAGTTAGGTCAATTACCTACATCGGTGAGTCAAACTAGTAGATTAGACAGGAGTAGTAAGATTGCCTGTAACAACATAAGAATTTAGCTGAGGTTAGAATGATTAATCCCACCCACGAAGATAGGTAATTGAGAAGACAGCTCAGCACTGCATTGCACTGCATGCATTGACACACAACCACACAATGGGGTGGGTGGGACAGAGTCAAAATTCTAAAGGGTAATATAGTTAAGTAGGTAGGTAGGTGAGATAGATACAGAAATGAGATTGATTACTTATTGAATCCTACCTGGTTCATTGAGTCTACACACCCAACACAACACAACACATGCAATAGAAGTAACTCATTATCATCGCCAGCTAATACCACAGATATGCAAGATATTATTACCACCAGTCAGTCAGTCAGTAAAATCAGAGCAGAATAATAAATAAAGTTCAAATTCTATTTCGATTCAATTCACATACACATTCTAACATTCTAACAACAAGTTATTTATTTATTTTACTAGAAAAACACTCGTATTATTTCCCTTCCCTTCTGATCCCTTCCTATTGTATTTGACTGATTGAATGATTGATTGATAACACTAAATCATTATTATTATTATTTCCGAATGTACTTTCTTCTCATCTTATATTACTGATTAATTTGATTCAATCAAATGTTGTCTAATCATCATCAATTTCTACTTATGCATGTATATAAACGACGAAACAAGAAAGTGAGTAGTGTGTGAGTGCGTGTGCCTTGATATGATTATGAGTATTAGCAATGATAAACATTGTGCTCGAAGCGTGTGGTGGCATCTTCAGTAAATATTACTGTATAACAGACGCACTCTGCGTGTATGACACTTCATCATAAAAATAAACATTTTACCCACACTGGAATTATACTCGACCACGACAGTGCCCAAGTTTTATTCTTGTGTCACAATATAATAACTCAACTGAATTTTTATGATGTACCTTGGGTAAGATATATTTTGAATAAAGTGTGCATCAGTCGGTGTTAATTCTTTCACTTTACTTTCTGTTTTGAAGGACCCATGTCTACTCAAAGGTTTCGATGTAACAAATAAACGTGTCCCACATGCACCAGCTCTTGATAGACCTCCAGAGCCAACTAATGAAACGTTTACTGTCACATACAAAGTGAGTTTTATTTATAAATATACATACATATGCATGTTCAGGTCTCATTTTTGAGATTGAATTAAACTTCAGTTTTCTTTGTAAAGTTTTAATTATCCTGAACTTCAGCTCTATTGACCTGAAGTCTTCCGTTCCTGATCTTCGAATACAATAGATGTTCTGGGTCAACGTTGTTTACCTCTTATCACACACACACACACACACACAAGAAGACTGACTGTTATTGTCAGTAGTTATTATATATATATATATGATTCTATAGTGATGAAAGTGAAATCGTCGAGAAAGTAATATTCTTCGTTGATTTCGATGTGATTGACCCAAAATCTGAATAAAATCCTGTTTACCTTAAAAAAAACATGAAAATATTAGCTTGAATTATACGATTTGTAAGTAGTATAACAGTCAGTTATTCTTCTTACCAATAATAGTTCGTCCACGTTGTTTGTGAGATTATTATTCCTTTGGTTTACGAGTGGGATATAGGGCTGGCTTCAACAACACCACACCTCTACTCTCTTCTAATTTCTGCCAACTTCTTAAGCTGGCTAGCTAAAAAATTGACCATCATCATTCGTTTCCTCCTCCTCCTTGACACACGATCTCCTCCATGTCACAATATCACCGACCACCCACTCGTTCGTCGATTTCCATTCACCTTCCACTTGAGTGATGGATGGTCTGCATAGCGCACGATGTCATTCGACCGATGGCCTCCCTCCTCAATGTATGCACAACCAATCCATCTCTAATCCATTTCTCCTACATATTTGATGAGCAGTGAAAATTTCTCACCAGTGTAGAAGCACCAACTGACTGACTGACTGACTTCACTGACATTTGTGTTGATTAGAATCCGAATGTTGTTGTTTACGCTTAGGCTGAGTGGGGAAGATTTCCATAGTGGCTTCAGGTTGATGAAGGTGTGCGTATCTTATCTTTCCAATTCTGACTTTGACATATTCACGCGTGCCATCCGTCTGTAGTTGAAACGATTCTTCATATATATATATATATATACATATGTGCGTCGGTGGCTTAGCGGTTAGGACGCTCGCCGACCATGCACATGGGCCGGGGTTCGAACCCCGGCTGACGCACACCTTTACTTCGCTAAGCCAGAAATAATGCTGGTGAAGAGGAAAGTTTGGGCATGAGGCTAGCAACTCCATCCTGTAAAATAAACACTGCTACAGAAACTTCAAACCACTATATATATATATATATATATTCATATGGGATGTTATGTTATTAATTTCGGATACTTGACTATTCCTTGACATCTTACTGGATATTAACATTCGAAGCTTTGCTGTATTTATTTATCTATGCATCATCTCTCTAATCCATTAGAAACTGTCTATAAACCAAGCAGATCCACATGTGAGAAGGAAGCATCTCTAGACAAATAGCTGATTTTGAAAGCTACATTTTAGTATAAATTTCTGACTCGTGAAGTAACTTTCGACTGCTCAAAACCTGTCATCTTATTCGCAGTTCAGTAATTGTCAAATATTTTTTCAATGCTCAAATTAGCTACGGAAAATGAGATGCGCTATTGTGACCACTTAAAATGACACAATTCAGAAGGTTATCTCCAGAGTACACTTTAGCAATTATGCAGCTATCTTCCAGCTCACCTTTTACATGCTGAACATAAAGTTGGTGTTAACAAAGCTTTTAAAGTTATCTACGGTATTTCAGTTGATCTTAATTTTGATGTAGTTGTGTGTTCTCTGAGCTGGCTGGCTGAATATTCTTATTTGCGAAGCTTTCATCATTGGCCTCCATCCACACAACATCTTCATCGCATACTTCACTTGAATTTGAATTGAATTGAGCTCTTAGTTTTCTCCACTAGGTTGTTAGTCCTCTCTCTACAAAATTCAGGATTTTGCTTTGTCCTCGAAAGTGTAGTAATGGTTGTAGACAATTTGGTGAGGTGACTAACTGGGGGACTAACTGACTGGTTTCAACGTAGAACTTTGCACATATTTACAGCAGTTCGAGTTGCCGCACTACCTCCTCTTAGCACACAAAACACGAGAAGAAAGTAAAAAGAAATTCAGAACAGAAGGAGAGAGATAATAAATAGAGATATGAGGCAAAAAGAATAGTTGTAATATGGAAGAACAATATAGTTTCATTGGATATTATAAGTCACAAGGAGTGGATGCATTTGCACCATCGTCAGTCATCACTGAGGATGATCACTTTCAACCAGTCATATCATCACCGATTGTCACCAGCCTTCATTGGTTCTCACCACCATCCCGAGGACCACAACCAGGCAGTCAGTAAGGTAGTTTCCACCTTCCTGACTGGTCAGCTACAAGTAGTTGTGTTCCCTAGGATCAAGTGAGGTCAAGCAACACTAACTCTCCTTCTGTTTCAGGTAACTTCAAAAATAAATAAATCAACTAACACAGTGGTGTAAAGGGCAGCTGGGAAGTAACAACCGCCCCACACCTCAGCACGCACACATACAAACCCCTCATTTAGTTTTTTGTCCTCTAAATGTTCAAATGAGAATTTTCACCATATATATATATGTCTTATCTATTCAATTTTCAGGGAACAGGAGATATGACGCAATGCCTAAAAGATGTAGAACCGTTACTACTTTTAAATGATCATTGTACACCGATTCCATGTGCAATGAATAATGTTGTTCAACCAAAAACTGATTTCAATTCACTTGAATTTTATGGTCTTAGTGAATTTTTCTATACTCTGGAAACATTGAAAATGATACCACCAGTTCAATATAACTATCACAAAGCATTGGAGAAAGCTCAGGTTAGTTTGATATAAATTTCTGTTCATTTGACTGGCTGCCTGGCTGTTTACTATTCTAATTGAAAGATTTACCTAGATATGATAGTCATACATCGTTTGAGTCAGTTCCTGATAATTGGTGTATTCATGCTATTTATTTCATATTACTTTATTGTTTGAACTTAGAGAAGATGGAGGTGATGAAGATAGCCAACCAACAACAACAACCAGCACTAATCACCATCAACCGGGGGACATTTAAAAGAGATTACTTCCCGTCTTCGCTTATCTGGCTAGGAATCATCGTTTCAACTACACGTGGATAGCACAGATGACCATCTCAAAGAGAGAATGAGAAGGGCAAAATACTCACGCCTTCATCAACCTTAAACCAGTTTGCAAATCTTCTCCACTGTATTCCGCCTCAGCTAGCATAAAAAACAACTTTCGGATTCTATCAAACACAAATGTCACTGAAGTCAGTCAGTCAGTTCTTCTATATGGGTGAGAAACTTGTACTTCATGTGCTTCACGAAAAGGATTTCCAACAGTCCACTACAGACTTTTATCAGCAGATGCCACCTTTGCTTCCTAGCTGGTTGGCTGACTCCATACTGAAGATCAAATGGCCAGACCACGGGCCAACCGACCCACCAGAAAGAATTAGTAACAAGAAATTCTGCAGTAGAACAAACCAACCAAACAACCAACCAAGCAAGAGCCGACTGATTGCTCAACAAGTAGGTAGGAAAAGGTGGACTGGAGATGAATTGATTGGGCACACATTGAGGAGGGAGGCCATCGGTCGAATGACATCGCGCGCTATGCAGACCATCCATCACTCGAGTGGAAGTTGAATGGGAGTCGACGTAGGAGTGGGTGGTCGGTGCAACTGTGACACGGAGGAGATCGTATGTCGAGGATCATTTGGAGGAAGAGGAGATGATAAATTATGGTCAATTGTGGCACTAGGCAGCTGAAGAGGATGGCAGCCCAGCAACAAATCAGTCAGTCAATTAAAAGTCTGTAGTAGACTCTCGGAAATCCTTTTCGTGATTCACAGGCAGTGCAAGTTTCTAACCCGTATAGAAGCACTGTCTGACTTCAAATTTGTGTTGAAAAGAATTCGAATGTTGTTTATACTAAGAAGATTCGCAAACTGGTTCCAGGTTTGTGCAGGCGTGAGTATCTTGCTTGTCTTTCCGATTCTGGCTTACTATCTGACTTCGAAATCTTCATCTGTGCCATCTGACTGTTATTAAAATAATGCTGAAGCCTGGATAAGTGAAGGCAGGAAGTAACCTTTGTTTAATCTCTCCCAATGATGGTGAATGGTGGTTGTCGTTGTTTCCATTAGCTGGTCGGATATATTCATCACATCCGTCTCCACCTTCTCTGTGTTCACCTGAATGAAGTCATGTCTTCGCTGCCGATCGGCCACTTCAGCCAGTTTGTTGTCAGTTTTCGCCTGCAAGTCTTCGATTCTTTGTTTTTTCGACATTGTGTGACATCAGGGAGCTGCTAGAGAACTAGCAAGCTGTTTAAATAGGCGAGGTTTCGTCTTCTCCTCCATCAACACAAACTGTCTGTCAAATGAAATATTAATTTCCATTAGGAACATAAAATGTTGACAATTCTTAAGGAGTCCGAAAAAATTTCGAAAATAAAGTAAATAAATGCCTCAAAGAACTCCTCATCAAGAAAATGATTGACAACAAAACTTAAAACGAACTCAGGTCAAAAGGTGGACGCCTCCCATTTATGTACGGTCTGTCAAAATCCATAAGGCCAATGTGCCCTTAAGACCCATACTATCAATGATAGACTCACCATGCCACAAACTAGCTCGATGGCTAGCTGGTTCATTGGAGCCAATATAACAGAAATTTGCAAATTATAGCTTGGACGACACCTTCCAATTTTCTAACGAAGTCAATCAGTTCACTTGCTCTTGTGGAGCTGAGTACATCGGCCGTACCATGCGCCAACTTGGAAAACGCGCTCGTGAACACTACCCAGCCTGGCTGGTAAAAGGAGAGCAAAAACGTGTATACAGTTCAGTGACAGAACATCTGGTCAACTCAGGACATTCAGCGCCTTTCGAAAAGTCCTTCAAAGTAATATACAAGATTCAATCAAACCTATCAAAGGTAGTGAAGTCAAGACATTTGGGCATAGCTGAGGCGTTAGCTATCCAAAAACTCAAACCCACCCTTTGTATCCAAAAGAAATACATCCAACCCCTGTCCCTGCCATGGCCATCGTAAACAGGTAAATTTTTAATAATGACCATCCCATCGCCTTTCTTATCTAAACTTCCTGTTTATTCATGTTATTTTAAGTTTTCTTAATCCCTGTCTACCCTACCATATTTTCATATCCACACTTCCTGTTTATTTTGTCATTTTATTATTTCTACATATTTAATCCCTGATTGCATAAACAATTATTCATCCCACTAGTTTCTTATCCAAACATCCTGTATATTTTGTTATTTTTACATTTCTAACCCCAATTGCACAATGTCAATTTTCTTAGTTATTATGCTACTTTGTTTGAGTTTTACCCATCCCCCTGTTTATTATAGCATTCTAATTCCTAATTGTAATTTTTATTAATTTAACCCCTAACCAGAAATTGTTCTGGAACTTTCCCATCCATTTGATATAAATACACGAATGTACAGCCTAGATGATGACTTCGTCGAAAAGAAAATTTTCTTCGCTGCAACTGTCTTTTTATTCCCTATGATCAAATGTGTATATTCCGTGATTTGAAGTCAATCATGTTGATATATCAAATAAACTAAGGGTGTCATATGACGTGACTGCCTTACTTACAAATGTGCCAGTGATGGAAACAATAGACATCATTTGTAAACAAACAGATCTATTGTCATTACCGGAGACAGAGATGAAGCGCCTACTAATTCTTTGCACAAAAGACATCCAATTTAGATTCAATATCGAATTCTACCGACAAATTGACGGGGTCGCCATGGGTTCACCTCTAGGACCTATTCTAGCCGACATCTTAATGGGTTATCTCGAACAGACGCGACTGAGTGACGCTATCAATGAAACAACATACTATCATCGATACGTCGATGATACTTTTGTTGACATGAGTCAGGCATCCGTATTATTTGACCACCTTTATGAGATCCAACCAAACATTAAATTCACCATGGAATATGAACACAATGACGAGTTCAATTTCCTGGACCTAAATGTAAAAAGAAGAAATGATGGAACGGTTGAAAAGTTCATCTACAGAAAAGAAACCTGGACTGGACAATACCTTCACTAAAACAGCTTCTGCACTATGAGCTATAAGCGGGGATTAGTAAGGACAATGTACGACAGAGCCAGGAAGTTATGTTCGCCTAACAAGGTAGAAGAAGAATCAAGCTTTCTTGACAAATGCCTTAAGGAAAACAGGTATCCAAAAGGATTTATCCTAAAGTACAGCAAAGGAAGAGATGAGAATGAGAAGTATCCAACAGTTGAAAAGAAGAAAGTGTTCATTTGCCCATCCCCCATACAAAGGAGAAACAATATCGCAAAAGATTTAAAAGAGGATGAAAGGAGCAATAAAGCGATGCTTCCCTGCAGCCAAGTACATCGGAAGGACAGAGAGAAGGGTTTCTATTCGGTTTTCAGAGCATATTCCGAGAAACTTATGCTTAAAAGGAGGCAGATGTTTACGAAGTTTAACTACTAGACACCCACCCTGTGGATACGGGTCATTTTGTCGAGATTTCCAAATCCTTCAAAATATTAGACATACAAAGGACAACCAATCTACTATTATTTGCTGAAGCAATTACAGCAATCAAACGTCTCAGACCAAACTTATGCGTACAGAAAGAGAGTGTAGTCAATCTCTCACTCCCTTGGTAACCGTATCACTTTTATTACACTGATTAGCCATATACATTAGTGAGCTGAGCTCACTAAGCAAGTTTTCAATTTGATGAACTTTAACCTTCTTGAGTTGCTATGTTGACGTACAAGCTAACACTGTTTATTAGGTTTTTCTGTTTTCTGTCTTTTCTCACCCCTTTTCCTTTTTTCATAGTTTGATTGTATATAAATTGATAGTAACTAAAACTATAAACTGTAATACTTATATTCCGGATACGTTATTAAAGTATGAAATGTTATTATTTATCATCATTGTAATTTCAGGTAGTCTGCAGCTGATGAGAACCTGTGAAGTAGAATGATATCATTTTATACTGCAAATCTGGTTTTTCTTTCTCTATCGAAATTTATCAAGGGAACCAAATGTATGAAATTTCCATTCTATCACATGAACATGTTGACACCCACAGGAAATAATTGTACAAATTTTAGACATAGTAAACACTAATAATTAATTCCTAGAAAACGATTCTGCAATCAGCACATACATTAACATATAGTTCAGTCACATTGTCAACAAAACGATCACTACTATTGCAAATTAACAATGAATTCAAAGTCGTCAGTTCGCAAAGATAGGAAACACAAACTAAGTTCGTCTCATCATATTGAGGTCTGTGCTGAAGACGTCACCTAGAAAGAAAATGGAAGCTTTGTAGTAAAAACCAGTAACAAAAGTACTAATTGAAAAGTGTACATTTACAAGCCACATTTTTCCATGAGAACTTCTGGTAGCCTCCAAAACAGAATGAAGCAATCGATCAGTCTATAAGGCACTTTGAACTACTTTTCTAAATCAAAAAAAGGTCAAATAAAGCAGCACATTACACAATTATGCAGTGATTTCCTAGGGGAAAATAGGGCTTCAGTCACACGTCTCCATTGCATTCGAGGTTCGCCGCCAACGTTTACCCACCTGACTCCACGTCTGCTCGCGTGCTTTCATCTCCTCTTCGCATCAACTCCTTCTCCTCTGCCTCCATATCACCCTCTCACTGGCGACTAACACCAACCTCCTACTTGCCGTTTGGGTTTCCACTCGAGAGACAGAGAGAGAGCTTGGCGTGTGATGACACTACTCACTTGATGGTTTGTTTTCTCACAGTATGGCTACAATCCAATTCACCTCTATTTATTCCTGCGTATTTGTTGCACACAATTGGTTCGTTCGCAGAGATCTCTGTTGGTTATCTTTTCTGACCGGCCATCTGATCTTGAGCGAAGACAGCTGTTGATGAAGGTGTGTAGTTTGTTCGAAGTTGCCTTCGTGACGTGGCAATGCGAGGCGCGCCGCCAAGTCTCTGCTTCGTATGTAGTAGCACTGACTTCACATTGGAGTCAAAAATATGTATCTTACTTTTAATGCTGAGTGCTGAGTGTTTATCTCCACACAGACTTGGTGAGAGTAATGAAAGCTTGCATTGCTTTCCGGATGATCCTCGCTTTGATGATATCCTCATCATTTTCGTCTGCCTGCAGTTGAAACGATGCTTCCCAGGTCGGAAGGTGAATGAGGTTGCTTCTTTCAGATTCCTCCCATTCATGCTGATTATCGGCTGTTTTTGTTGTTGCTGTGGCTGTTGCAGTTGGTGGGCAGGAATCATCATCATCACCACGTCTGTTTTCTCTATGTTCACCTGAATTGCTATCTTTTCTGGATGCTTCTCCTGCCAACTTGTTGCTTTTTACTTGCATATCTTCCAGTTTGTGGGAAATTAGACTTATATCATCGTCGAAGTGCAGATCCTCCAAGTATTTTTTGCGTGGTCCCATTTCATGCCTGTTTCCCCTCTGCCCGCTTTGTGTCTTTCTCATTATCAAGTCTACCGCAATCAGGAAAATCATTGGAGATAGTGGTAGACAGGCAGCTCGTCTTATTCTCGTCTTCATTTCGAATGATTCCGTGAGTTTCCCGCTGTGGGCTTACTTGACATACGCAGCATTATCGTACAACAGTTGAATGAGGGGTATAATTGTTGGCGGCATCTAGTAATAAAGAAGTAGTTGCCACATCACCGCTTGATCGACGCTGTCTGTTGAAAGCCTTTTACAAGTTGATGAATTTGGGTGGAGGTAGATAATTGACTGCCATTCCAAACTCTGTTTAATCTTGATTCATAGTGTCTAGACTTGATCGATGTCTTTCAAGCTTAACAGGACGTAATCAATGAAATAATAGACTCCATAAAATACAATCTTCAGAACGAAATACACCCGCTTCAGTCAAATATATATATATATTATAAGGCCGCAATACGTTCAATACTTTATACTCAGACAGTCATTGAAGCAAATCCTAACAACAAGATAGTAGGCACGAAACCTATGATATAATAACTACTAATTTTGTCAGTACTGATCTGTTCCCAAATGCTATATATGAACTAACCCGGGAAATCAGTCATTCCCCTTCCGTATGAACCTAGAATGATGATTATTGGCTATTCACTGACCGCTTTACCATTGTTACATATATATACTTCCATTGGGACTAGAAATTATTTTGATAAAGTCTCACAGTGTTTGTTATACAGTAATATTTACTGATGATGACCACACGCTTCAAGCGCAAATTATTGCCACTCATAAGCATATCAAGGCACTACTCAACTGCACAACTTTCGAACTTCGTTTATATAATTCCATTAGTTTTCATCGCTTGACTTGATTGGTAGTATTTTCCATATTTCCGATATGAGTGGTGAGACATCCCTATTGCATGCGTTGGGTGTAGATTCTATGAACAGAGGTCCAGTAACCAACCCACCTCTCTCCACCTGCCTTTATTACCCTTTAGAATTTTGACTCGCGTCGGTGGCATAGCGGTTAGGACGCTCGCCGACCATGCACATGGTCCGGGATTCGATTCCCGGCAGACGCACTCCTTTACCTCGCTAAGCCAGAAATAATGCTGGTGAAGAGGAAAGGTTGGGCATGAGGCTAGCAACCCCATTCTGTAAAATAAACACTGCTACAGAAACTTCAAGCCACTAGCTTGAAGCCCTATGTTCCACTTAGGATTGTGAAGGAAGAAAAAGAATTTTGACTCTGTCCCACCCACCTTATTGTGTGGTTGTGTGTTAATGCATGCAGTGCAATGTAGTGCTCGGTTATTTTTCTCTAAATTACTTATCTTCCTGATTTATTAGGAATCCTACAAGGAAAAATAATGGAATTATATAAACGAAGTTCGAAAGTTGTGTAGTTGAGTAGTGCCTTAATATGATTATGATTATGAGTAGTAGCAATGATAAATCGTGCTCGAAACGTGTGGTCATCAGTAAATATTACTTTATAACACTGTGAAACTTTATTATAATATTACCATTTACATACTGCTTCTTTTTCTTTGGCTGTGACTGTATACAACTTAAGTGCACTTCAGTCACTGTGTGAAATCATTCCTACAGTAGCACTCTTTATTATTATTATTAAATAGCTACACTGCTGAGTCTCTTCAGTTGCTGTGTTAACATTATATATGCAGTTATTAACACAGGGTAGATCAGTCATTTTTCATACTAGAAATTTCTGTTGTTGTAAGCTCTTACTTTCTTCTCAGTGATTTGCCTTTCTAAACATAAGTATACGTATGCATGTTTTTTTATGCATTTCATATATTTTTTATCAATATTATAAGAATTATCATTTCTAATTATCTTTCTTTAATCATTGCTAGAGTGTTTGTTCCACTAACTTGGTAATTTATTACATCTTATTATTATTATTGCTCCCTTGGGTTCCGAGTGGAATGCAAGGCTGGCTTCAACAACACCACCACATTTCCATTTACTTTTATTTTCTGCTATCCTCTTCAGTTGGTGAGCCCCACGATTGACCATAATCATTCTTCTCATCGTCCCACTGCCCCAAACGATCTCCTCCGTGTCACAGTTGCATCAACCAACCACTCCTACGTCGATTCCCATTCACCTTACACTCGAGTGATCGATGGTCTGCATTGCGCGCGATGTAATTCAACCGATGACCTCCCTCCTCAATGTGTGCCCAATCAATTCATCTCCAGTCCACCTTTTCCTACCTATTTGTTGATCAATCAGTCGGCTCTTGCTTGGTTGGTTGTTTGGTTGGTTGGTTCCACTGCAGAGTTTCTTGTTACTACTTCTTTCTGGTGGGTCGGTTGGCCCGTGGTCTGGCCATTTGATCTTCAGTATGGAGTCAGCCAACCAGCTAGGAAGCAAAGGTGGCATCTGCTGATAAAAGTCTGTAGTGGACTGTCGGAAATCCTCTTCGTGAAGCACCCATATAGAAGAACTGACTGACTGACTTCAGTGACATTTGTGTTTGATAGAATCCGAAAGTTGTTTTTTATGCTAGCTGAGGCGGAATACAGTGGAGAAGATTTGCAAACTGGTTTCAGGTTGATGAAGGTGTGCGTATCTTGCTTGCGTTTCTGATTCTGGCTGACTGACTGGCTTTGACAACTTCATCCTCTGGCCATCCGCATGTACTTGAAACAATGCTGTCTGCCTGGATAAGTGAAGGGAGGAGGTAACCTTTGTTAAATCTCTCCCATTTTATGATGATTGATGCTAGTTGTTGTTCTTATTGCTGTTGCTGTCAGTTTTGTTGGTTGCTTATCTTCATCACCCCCGTCTCTACCTTCTCTAATTCCACCTGGATGAAGTCCTGTCTTTGCTGCCGGCCAACCTCTTCAGCGAGTTTGTTGGCTTTCACACTATGTTCCACTGGGAACCTAAAACGAAACGAATAAAAATTACACAAAGAGGATAAGTTCTTATTTTCCTACGATGAAATCCGCCCTTTTTGATACATAAACCAGCACATGTTTCTTAAATTCGTTGAATGTATGACTTTCACTTCTCTTTCATTTCAGCCTCTCATTTTTTTTCTTCTTTTTGTCTGTTTTTATGCATTTTAGGAAATTTGTAGTATGTCATGGAATGACTATCATGCAGAATTGAAAAACGAAAAGCCGGATTTACCACAAGCAAAGTAAGTTTTTAGTTTTTAATGAATGTGGAATAATATCTGAATAATTCCTTTATTTTTTCTTCTATGAGTAGTATTCTCTCTCTCTAGTTATATTGTGTATAACGTGTTCTTCAATACACCCTTTCTTCATTCACTCAGACTCATATATTGTTGGAAAAGAGGCTGAAGTGTTGATTGCCTTCCTTTTTATGTGATGATGATGATTCATATAAAAGAGAAGCATTAAATACGAGGAAGTACTAGATAAGATGTTTCGTCCTAATTTTGGAATCGTCAGAAGCACACACCCACTACGCACCAGGGTTCGAAACCAGGACCTTCCGGTTACAAGGCAAGCTAGCTCGCATACCATTCAGACACTCACCAGGACCCGTCAATCCAATGGCCAACCAGCCAGCCAGTCCATGAATTCTAACTTCTACCAATTCGTGATGCATTTACCACGACTAGCACCAACCAGTATCATCGTGGCGGGAGATCCATCCTTACACTTGACGACTGGATGGAGACCTCACTGGTCCCGACTTCTCACTAGGCGTAGTCCAGGAAACTCCGTCCTGTATCAAGTGACCATCGAGCATCAGTGTTAGTTGATTATTCAACTGAATACAATTCATCTCGGAAAATAATTTCATGTTATGTCTATTCAAGTTTGACTTCAAAAGAATGGTTACATTGAACAAAGAATATTTACAGTTTCGATAACCTGCTCTTTATCATCACTAGGTTCTACAGTTCTATGTGCATCAATCCATCCAGAATGGTGAATGAATGAATTCCTTAATCGCTCCCTTAGCAAATAGAATCTTTAGAACCCATTAATAACGGGATAACAGGAGACCTAGCTCCTCTATTGCGAAACATATTATAGAGACAGGAAATAAAATTGACTTTTACACATCTTTTAAACCTGTTTATAAAATGTTTTTGGGGCGTATCCTTAACTTTGTGGAAGACCTAGCTGGCAATTAGAAAGTTTAAACCACCTTTATGCGTTCAACCAACTATTCGTTATCACACTAAACCTACCATCCTTGGTAAACTTCGTTTTGATCACCACCAGTCAGGGCAGAGGTACTCTTGCCTCTGTTATTTGGTTTAGTGATCTTCATTGTTATTTTGACCACTAATATGTTCTTTTACCTTGACCTAACTCATCTATTTTCTCACCTCTTAACTCTTCATTAATTTCATATATGTATCTCTATGACAACGCCGTGTGTGATCAGATTGTTCGAAATGTGTTGCGGAAATACATTACACGAATCGGACAAATTACGTGTTCTTATTGCTTTTTCTGAATGAATTAGTGTTATTAACAACAACATTAACGTAACTGGAGGTGAACTTAGGGTTGATTGTACATGATACCTCCTTAATTGAAAATAGCTAGCTATCCACACAAATTTATCAAGAAACACCTGACAAAGAAAGCGGAAAACTTGGCTATTCACTATCCGTCAACAAGAAGCCTTTATATACATACGACTACAATTGAAGGGCGAGATACCTAGCGAAATAATTACGAAAAAGTTAGGAAAATCTATTCAAAAAACCTTTAATGCTGGTAAACTACAGGTCCTGTTTTCTACACGACCGACCGGTGGTGATTCCTCGATTGAAAGATGAAGTATCTAGACGAGACTACTCACTTCTAATTGTATCTACTAATTCAACTGAGCTTGTGGTGGAGCGAGTTATAGTGGTCATTGCTCTAGGAGCTTGATATTTCTCGCTCGATGGGGAACATCTCCCAATGTGGTTAAATGAAGGTAGAGTGAAACGCATCAATAATTTGATATTAAACCACCTGGTCCAAACTTGCCACGAAGGCAGCATTGAAGAGTCCAACTCCATAACAGTCTACCGGGTACCAAATAAATTGTCAAAAGCTATTGCGATTCGCGTGAAACAACTAGTGCTGTATGTGCAAAAGAAGCAAGTCCAACTAGTCAGCCACTACTGCTACTGCCCTGGCCGGTCTTTAGTAGAGATTATGAATTCATGAATTTCTATTATTATCTTTCCTAATTTCTCTGATATTCATTCAGTGTACTGTTATGTTGATGATATCAAAGTCTAATCTATTTATATTATCATTATTAATAATAATTCGATGTTATTGAAACAACAAAATTAATGTCGTTAATATCACTTATTCATTGATTCACTATTATGAATGGATCGATGCATGTATAACTTTAGAACCTGGTGATGACGAAGAGCCGGTTTTCGAAAATGTGAATATTCTTTGTTCACTAATCATTCTTTTGAATAATTTTTTTCTTAATAATTACAATAGTTATTATAATTCTATACAGTTTCATTCTTTAATTATATACTGTTCAACCTGCTGTAACCTACTGGTCACGGCTTCCCACTGGAACCTCAAGTAACTACCTACCTAAATAGCACAAGTCGCTAGTGAGCATCAGATTAATTTTCAAGTATTGGTTTCGGAGGATATCATCATGAGCTGACATAAGTTGGTTGGAAAACCCGCCACAGGAAGTGCTGCCAGGCAGCCGTATCCTACATCCTAGTGCTTGGCCTGGACTAGCTCTTTAGGAGTACCCACCCAACCCATCCCACTGCGATTTGAACCAAGGATCTTCTGGTTACAAGGCCACCAAGCGAGCTAGCTCGTAGAACATTAGTCAGCCACTCACTCACTTACTGAGACGCGATCCAATGGCCAGCCAGCCAAGCCACTTCGTGAATTCTTCTTCTTATTATTATTGTATCCTTTAATTCCTACAGGAACATAGGGCTTCAGCCGTGCGTCTCCATTGCGTTCGGTTCTCTGCTAGAGTCTTCACCTGGCTCCAAGTCTGCCCACACGTTTTCATCTCCTCTTCACATGACCTCCTCCAAGTCACCCTTGGACGACCAACTCGCCGCTTCCCTTTCGGGTTCCACTCGAGCAATGGCTTGTCTAGTGATGTCACTTGATGGTTTCCTCAGAGTATGGCCAATCCACCAACTGAATTTCTTCCTGCCTAATTGTTTCACAATCGGTTCCTGGTTGGTTCGTTCCCAAAGATCCCTGTTGCTGATCTTGATCTTGAGTATTGAGCGAAGACAACTGTTGATGAAGGTCTGTAGTTTGTTTGAGATGCTCTTTATGACGCGCCAAGTCTCTGATCCGTATAGTAGCACTGACTTCACATTGGAGTTGAAAATCCGGATCTTATTTTTGCTGTTGAGTGTTGTTGTCCTCCACACAGACTTGAGAGTAGTGAAAGCTTGTCTTGCTTTGATATCCTCGTCAGTTCCGCCTGTAGTTGAAACGATGCTTCCAAGGTAGGTAAAGGAGGTTGTTTCTTTCAGGTTCCTCCCATTTATGCTGATTGTTGTCAGTTGTTGTTGTTGCTGTTGGTGGTGTTGCCCAGGAATTTTCATCACCTCTGTTTTATCTATGCTCACCTGAAGTCCTATCTTTGATGCTTCTTCTGCTAACTTGTTGCTTTTCACCTGCATATCTTCCAGTTTGTGGGAAATCAGACATATCATCGGCGAAGTCCAGATCCTCCAATTATTTTGTGTTTGTCCATTTTATGCCTGTTTCCTCATTGCCCACTGTTTGTCGCATTATCCAGTCTACTGCAATCACGAAAATCATTGGCGATAGTAGGCAGCCAGCTTGTCTTACTCCTGTCCTCACTTTGAAGGGTTCTGTAAGTTTCCCATTGTGGATTACTTGGCATGCAGCATTGTCGTATAGCTGTTGGATGAGATGTATTATTGTCGGTGGCACCCCGTAGTAGCGAAGTAGTTTCCAAATCACCTCTCGATCGACGCTGTCAAAGGCCTTTTCAAAGTCGATGAAGTTGAGATAGAGAGGTGACTGCCACTCCAAGCTTTGTTCAATGATGATCCGTAATGTGGCGATCTGATCAATGCATGACTTGTTTCTCCTGAATCCAGCCTGTTCCGGTCGAAGTTTTTCATCTAGGGCATGTTTGATTCTCTCCAGGATGATGCGGCTTAGTATTTTGCTTGGGATGGACAAGAGCATAATTCCGCACCAGTTCTTGCATTGACTTAAGTCTCTTTTCTTTGGTAGTTTGAATAAGTATCCTTTCTTCCAATCCTCGGGTGCTTTGCCTTCTTTCCACACCTTCTCCAGTAGTGGCGTCATCAAGTCCGCTGTTGTCTCTGGGTCCGTTTTCAATGCTCAGGGTTTCCTTTGCTCCACTTCTTTGTTGAGTGACCTTCCATTGTCATCCTTCACCGGCTTCATTCGTGTCAAACGTTTGCCCGATAGGTACCTAGTAGTTTGGTAGCGTGTTGGGAGGTCTCCTTTGCCTGCAGCTTGTTCTGCCTCACTTGCTATGGTTTCATAATACTTTCTTTTGTATACTCTGGCACTCTTCTTTACTCTTTTGTTCAGTCTCTTGTAGCTTGCGTTCAAATCCTGTTTTTGTTGCTCATCGGTGCACTGGAGAATCTTGTGTTTCATCATCCCTCTCTCTTCTATTAGTTTCCAAGTGTCCGTAGTGAGTCATTGTTTGTCTTGTCTCTTCTTTCTGCCTAGAACTTCCATGCAGATTTGACTCCACACTGTCTTCAAGTTGTTCCAGTGCTTTTCGACGCTGACCTCTTCGCCAGTGTTGATTTGTGTCTCGGCTTTGTCTTTTATGGTTGCAGTGAAGATGTCCTTTGTATCCTGGTCCTTCAGTTTTTGAGTGTTGAACTTGGCTTGTGGCCTATCTGCAGCTCCTGATTCTCTGAAAGCTTTTAATTTGATTTGGATTGTCCCTTGTACGAGATAGTGGTCTGAGCCAATGTCTGCTCCTCTTCTTACTTTTGTGTCCAGCAGGCTGCGCCTCCACTTCCTTGAGATTGAGATGAAGTCGATTTGGTTTTTGGTTCGCCCATCTGGTGACACCCATGTAGCCTTGTGGATATCCTTGTGTCTGTATACGCTGCCACCAATCACTAGTTCATTGAAGGCACAGAAGTCGGCGAAGAGTTCTCCGTTTTCATTCATTTCTTCG